CCCGATATCAAAAAGTCAACTCCCGATCAAACTTTCAAATCTTCAAATTTTCAACTTTCGCCAATTAGCACTGAATCCTTCTAGAAATATCCAAATGCAAATCCGGACATATACCCAAGTCCAAAATCACCATCCGGACCTAACAGAACCATCAAAACTCTATTCCGGGGTTAAATTCACCAAAAATCAAACTTGATCAATTCCTCCAACTTAAAGCTTAAACCATGAATTCATTCTTCCAAATCGATTCCGAATAATCTGAAAACCAAACCGACGATTCGCATAAGTCATAATACCTCATACAGAGCTATTATGCCCCCAAACCTCCGAGCAAAGTATAAATGCTCGAAAGGACCGGTCAGGTCGTTACATCCTCCCCCACTTACCATGCACATACCCGGGGGTGATCCCACGTCACCCTTTTCCATATAGGCCCGACAACACAACATACTGAAGATCATTATTTCAACCTTAGCCCTTAACCCACAAAATCCACTTTGCAACATCCGAAATTTCTTATAAGATCTGAATCTCGCACCTACACACTGTATAAGTGTGAATAAGCTGTATCGAGCCATAACCATAACCCAAGATGTAATCACATGATGTACCACATCTCCTTCTTATCTTTACCTTAGGACATTTGGTTGTTTGTGCTATGCATCTACACCTCCTACACACAGGGATAAGTTTAGCAGCAGGTCTATCCCATCAATTTTCATGGGGTACCCCTTTGGGAAAAAGGGTTACAAACTTCTGCGGTATATTGTGCTATTTACTTCTCCATGGTTATGGTCATGCACCTTGGGTACTTGATGTCAAATTGCGCGCGATTGTTGATTTTGAGCATGGTAGCTGGAGGTATTTCATAGGGACCGGTATTTGGATGGGGTCACGCATTGCAGCTGGGATACGTCGGGATATGATCCTTTGTTTTAGATTCGTGCGTTTTGGTTCTACTATGTATGATGGGTTTGTAGCATTGCGGTTTTGGTGGTACTTCTTGAAGTTGCGGTATAGTTCTCTTGTTTGAGTCATTTTACATTTTTGGGTACATTTGAATTGTTGCTTATGGGTGCACAGATTGCACGATTTGTGACTTTAGGTTGTAATGGTGTGTCCTGCCACTAGGATGATTGTGTTTGATGAGATCGGGTCATTGGACCTATAATAGGTACTATAATCGGAAGTTGGCTTAGAAATTGGCTATAGTTCTTGTCGAAGGAGAGGGGGGCTCCATGACTTGTTGATCTGATAAGTGATTATTAGTTTTTGTGTGTTTCTTTCATCATTGGCAGTATACGAAGGTTTTAGAATGAGGTTTTGTTTGATATGAGGTTCATTTCCGGCATTGGGTAGCGCTCTAGATGTTTCAAGAAGATATCTGTATTTTTTTTCTACCACCCCATTTTGTTGGGGTATATGGATCAGAGGTATGATAGACAATGCCTTGTTCTACAAAGAAAGAAGAAGCAGAAAACCTGGACCCTAATTCCAAGGCATTATCAGATCTTATAGTTTAAACTCTAGTATTAAATTGAGTTTGGACCATAGAAATGAAGGCTTTAAGTATGGGAAATGTATTTGATTTGGTCTTTAACAAGTGTGTCCAAGTTGTTCTTGTAAAATCATCTACTATGGTGAGAAAATATTTGCATTCATCATGTGTAGGGACATGATATGGCCCCTAGGTGTCAATGCGTATTAGTTGAAAAGGGGAGTTTGTGTGAATTTCACTGTCTGTGAATGGTAGCCTGATTTGTCTTGTCATTGGACAGATATTACAAATAAAATCTTATTTACTAGAAAGTCCAGAAGCAATAGAAGAAATAGATTTCAAATGAGTAAGTGGAATGTGTCCCAATCTACTATGCCAAATAGTGTTCACTTTATTCAAATGACTGGTATTTACAAAGGGAATAGTAAAATGAGAAGCAACAGAACACTCTACATCATGTCCATTAGAAACAGGAAAGACAGAACTATTAGAACAATTAAAAACGGATGAATTAGTGGTAGTTGTAAGTGAAGTAGATGACACAGATGAAGGCAGGTGGAGAATATAAAGTCCATGTTATGTTTTACCAAATTCCAGAGGCCTCTTCATGGAAAGGCCTTGTAATATGAAACAGAAATAAGAACTGAAAATTAGTAAATACTTTAATTGTGATACTAATTTATGCATAGAGATTAAGTTGAATTGAAAACTAGGAACTAAGAGGACATGTTTTAGAATAGTATCACTGGATACAGTTAACTCCCCAACACAAGTTACTTTAACTTTATATCCATTGGGTAGAGTCACCAAGTAAGGAATAGGTAGCATTTTGAAGTAGGTTATTGTGAGAGGTCATATTAGTCAGTAACCCAGAGACCAAAATCCAAGAGGTTTCACTAACCTTACAAAACATACAATTGCTAATTGAACACTCAAGTCTATTACTGGAAAAGCAGCTAAGAATACATGCAAAATTTGCAGAAGCACTAAGAGTGGGAGCCAAAGAGGATCCCTGATCCGACATGTGATGCTGCAAGAGAGAGACATCAGATGATTACATTGCTCCTGTGTCAAACCTGGAATGACAGAGTTGACTGTTGAAGCATTAGGAACTGGTGGATCAGGTTGATTGGCCTGCTTAGGATCAGGTTAATTGAATTGCTTGGAGGTGTCTAATTCAGTATATACATTTGCAGCAACTCTTCTAGTCTTGGTGAACTTAAAATTGGCAGAAAACACATTCTTTCTATAGCATGTCTCTACTGTATGTCCAGGTTTATGGCAATAACTGCACAACACACTATTTCTTCTGGGATCAAAAGTAGTCCTGGGAGGAAATTTTTGAGACCTTGATGAAGAACTTGGTGATTATGAGTATAACTGTTGAGAACCCGCTGAGAATGATGCTGACTCTGAAGAAAATTGGGGAATGGTAGGTTGAATTTCCCTTTGGCGTTCATCATTTACCAACAAGGAATAAGCTTTATTTATGGAAGGGAAAAGACTCATCATGAGTAGGTTGCTTCTAGCATTCACATAACTCTCATTTAATCCCATGAGGAAATGATACATCCTCTGATCATTTTTGAGTTTCTGGATATCCTTCTTACTACCACCATAAGTACAATGGCTCTCAGAGTGAACTGCCAAGGTACTGAGCTCATCCCAAATACTTTTCATTTTGGCATAGTAATCAGGAATACTCATGGAACCCTGAGAAATATAAGCAAGTTCTTTCTTAACCTGATATACTCTAATTCCACTAGGTTGCCCATACCTATCTTCCAATTCCATCCCCACATCTTTGGCAAGCTGACAGTATAGAACACTTTTGCGAATTACGGGCAAAAGAAGATTATGAATCCACCAAAATCACAATGTTGTTACACCTATCCCACTGATTATAGATAGGTGAATTCAATGGTGGCCTTTGACAGTCAGGTTGAATGAAATATAACTTGTTTTTAATAGAAAAGGCAATAAGCATGCTTCTTCTCCAATCGCTATATCCTGTTCCATCGAAAACAGTCCCCACTAGAGAAAGTCCCAAATTATCTGATGGATGAATATAAAGCGGATAATTGTGGTCAATCAACTCATCAGATAAAATATCATGATCAGAAGGAGTAGAAAGACTAGCAAGTGACTTATCCGAAGAATTTTGATCCATCACAGAAATGAAATTAGGGCTTGCACACAAAATTAAGGTTCTTCCTTAACTATCAGCTCTAATACACAAATCCCTCACAACTGTTACGAAAAATCCGAAATACAATATAAATGCACAAAAAAGGAAGAGAAATCACCATTGAAAACATGATGCTCCGGCGATATGACGAGAAATCGAGAAACTGTCGCCACCGAAGGATGAAAATGAACAAAGCTAACATGAAATTGAAGAATGCTCTCTCATCTATCCGGATACGAAGCGCTCTGATACCATGTCAAACTCATTAGGAGCTCGAATTTTGCGCAAGAAAGTTCTAGAAGAACATGGAATAGAAGAGAGAGCATCTGAAGATATCTTCTGTAATGAGAAAAATGAATAATCGTGTGTTCTAAATCTACTTATTGTGTTTGTATACATAGTCAAATGGGTCGGGTCTCAACCCAAAATAAATGGACTGAAAACTATACAAAAAGAAGTTTAATTACATATAAATATAATTGGGCCTTATACATGTGGGTCTGCCTGATCTAATACTTTGTTGATGTATTAACCAACAATTTATTCGATATTAAGGCATAAAAATAACAGTAATTTTTATAAGATATATATATATATATATATATATATATATATATATATATATATATATATATATATATATATATATATGTAATTTTTTAAAAATTATTTATTAGTTATTGATATAGAAAACACGCACAAAGTGCGTACCCTTAGATTAGTAGTTGAAAATGATGGAGAGTGGATACATGAATAGCTTTGGACAATACAGTTCTTGAGAATAAACTTTTACATGACAGATCTTATGAAAGTGACCTTGAAGAGTGCAACGAATCACATTGCTAATCTTATTGGTTTTTTTGGAGCTACGATTTTGAGAACTAAAATAAATTTTTGTTTCAGTTGACATGTTCAGTTGAGTGACAACTGTACAATCGAATCTCTCTATAATAGCACCGCCATATAATAGTTATTTACTATAAAAATCAAGTTTTTTATGGAATCAATTTTAATGTTATGTTATAATATATGTTTTATATAACATCACTTCATTATAACATGTAAAAAGATTCGGAACAAATGAGACTGTAATGGAGAGGTTTGACTAGATTAGCTTCTTGCGGTTTACTTTACATTTTAAAAAAATTGAAAAAAATGATAAAAAACCGAAATCGGCGTAATTAGTTTAATTTGATATAAATAATTAAAAATCCAATATAATTGATTTGAATTTTTTTAAAGTAAAAATCGATCTAAGCCCCAAGTCATATGAGGGCCCCAATTTTCCTTTATTATCATGTGTGCTACAGCTCATTCACTTTACGCAATACCCTCCTCACTTTCTCTCCAACCAAAAAAGAAACAAAAAGCAGTGATTTGAATTGGAAATAGGAAGAGAGCAAAGATGGTGGACTTGGCAAGGGTACAAAAGGAGCTGCAAGAGTGCAATAGAGATGTTGGGGTTTCAGGAATAAGTGTAACCCTTAAAGGTGACAGTCTCACTCACTTGATTGGTACAATCCCTGGTCCTCTTGGTACTCCTTATGAAGGTGGTTCTTTCAAGATCGATATTACTCTTACTGGTAACTCTCCCAATTTGCTTCTACTCTCACTTTTACATTCATGTTCTGCATATAAGTATAAACTTTTCTGACTTTTGAAGGTGGGTTTTTGTTTTTTGGGGGGTTCTAGGGTTTTGATTTTATAGAACACGTCTATCAAAGAAATGGTGTGTTATTGAGGCTTTGTTGAATGTAAAAATTGAATCTTTGTCAGCTAATGTGGCATATGAAGGAATTACGGATGGACTTTTGTTTAATTTGTTGTCAGGCTCAGGCCCTTATGTTTGGGGGAAGTACGGAAAGGGTTCCACTGTCATCGTTAATATATCTACCTGAATGCAAATGAGTCGGACCATTATTAATTACTATAAGTATTTGAAAGCAGAATACATATGCGGCTCCTCAGACTTTCCAAAACATTTCATTTAGACATTTTAACTAAAGGTATGACTTATTGAATACTTGATTTTTGTTGAAAATGTGCCTATTGAACAGCCAGCCAAACATTTGAACACGTGAGGTTTACATGCTTGATGTGGAAAATGTAACCAATGAGAAATAGACATGTTCGATAGCTTTCTCAAACCCCTGCAATTCTTTGCAAAAGTTACCAGCATTTACTCATAACATGTGTTTGCGCACGTTATTGAGGCTTTCTTATATGTAAAAGTGGAATCTTTTTCAGCTATTGTGGCAAATGAAGGAATTATGTGTGAACTTTTGTTGCTTTGTTTAATTTGTTGTCAGGCCCTTATGTTTGGGGACAATGCAGAAAGGGTTTCAGTGTCATAGTTAATAGATCGACTTGAATGCTGATGAGTCGAACCATTATTAATTGTTACTCCATTTTATATGGTAACTCCCAGGGAGCTCAATGTCATGTTGATAAGAGGATAGTCTAGGATATAGATATCATTGACATGGTTTACTGTTTATCAGAATTTAGCAGTTTTTGTGTATGACTCCTAAATCAAGAAGCTTTGTCTTTGCAGATGGCTACCCATT